AATTCTCCTTCCCGGTCAGTTTCCGCCTCCCCATTGTGGCGGCCTCTCCGGGAGTCGAAGCCCCCCCGTGCCTCCACGCGACTTCATTCCGCCGCTTCCTCCGGTCCGGGAGCCTTTGAAAACGATGACAGTGGATGGAAAGACGTGACCTTCATCCCTCAAAAAACAGCCGACCTGAAGCCTGGAGCATTCCGCCTGCCCCGACTTACAGACTTCTTCGCCACCCTGCCGCCCGCCTCGCGATGGCACAAGCTGCTGCGCCGGAAGAAACCCGCGTACGAAAGCTTGAGGCATGACGACTACGTCGAGGCCTGTCGCTCTTTGGGGGTCCCTCCTGACATCGAGGAGGACAAACTCGCCGCCAAGGTTGAAGCCTTGCTGGTCAAGTATGAGAAGGACCGGAAGAAGCGGATTATGATCGATTGGGCTAGGGACAAGATTTTCGAGCACCGCATCTTCCTGCAGCTGGACGGACAGGCGGTGAAGCCTCCGGGGGGCATGGACATGCGCCTGCTTGACGAGAGGTTTCTAGAAATTTCCCCGAAAGATACCCTGGACCTGATGACGGCCCTCGACCTCTCGCCCGCGGATTTGAAAGGGAAACCGGGCCCGCTCACGGCCGTGGTGAACAACCCCTTGCTGCGAGCATTGCAGATCACCCGCTTGGTGAAAATGGGGCGGTTCGTACTGATGGCGTTCGGCGAGTCCCTGGAAGCCCCCAACCTCCGGCGCTTGCTGTGGCCGGGTACTGTGGGGCTGGCCTTGGCGCTCTGGTTCGGGAACGCGGTGGACTTCGTCCCTTTGAAATACGTGATCACCACCGTCGTCCACGCAGGGCCCATATACAACCGTGGGGAGGCCAAGCTGGCAAACAGGCGGGAGCGGCGGCCCATCAAGTGGACGAAGCTCCTCTTGTCCTTGGCTTTCATGGCATTGTCGACCGCGGGGGCCTGGGCGGGCGGTAGAGCCTGGTGTGCCTTGAAGTATCCGACGGGGGACTTGCCGGAAAATATATTTGTCCCCTTGGTGGCGAATCTGGTGACCTACGTCATGAGTTCATGTTTCTTCATTCGAGAGAGCACGTTGGCAGGGGGCCGCGCGGCGCGGGACGCAGAGGGTGGCGACGGAGGGAAGGGGGGGAGAGGGGGAGGTCGAAGGCCAGCGTGATCTCAATCCAAAGGGGGGAATGACAGGCGGAATCAGGCGTGATTGGACAAAGAATACGGGGATGAGTGGTGAGTAGATGCGTGGGATCCCCCCCACGCACAGCATGGCGGTTGTGGCGGCTAAAGAAATCCCAAAACCGAGTCGCGGCACCCGAGGAAGCATTGCTTGAAGTCCTTTGGCGGAACTCTTTTCTCTTTCTTTCTCACCTCCCTTTGCCTACATTTGGAGTGCCCTTTTTCCTCTCTTCGTAAGCTCATTGATGCGCGTCGATTGCTTAAGGTATTGTCCAGAAGGCCCACAACTGCCTCTTCTTTCGTCCCAAAAGTACTTGCTTTGCTGCCCCGCCCACGTCCTCTTGTCGCGCTTATCCTCTTCATCCTTCCTTCCATATCTCCTCTCTGCCCCCCTCCTGCCCTCCCCGCGACAGGGTCCTCCGTTTCAAGCTGTCCTCGTTAGCGCTCCCATTCCGCCCCACGGTGCACTTCCGCAGCCTGGCTTCTCGTAAGTCCGTTTATCCACACTTGTCTCCGCCAGGCACGGCGAGATGGAGGGCCTGAGACTGCCGCGTTGACACGCTCCCGCAAGCGAGTCCTCCGAGCATCCTCGCCCCTGCCCTCTGGGCGCCTCCCTCTCTAAACCTTGGGGCCGTGCGAGGAATAATCCGTCACACCGGGCGTCACGTACTTGGTATAATTCTTCTGGAACATAGCCCCCAGCTTCAAACGCTGCGCGTCGTACGCGGCCTTGTCTGCCCATGCCGTCCGAGGGTCCAGGACGTCACTGGCCACGCCATGGAGGGCCTTAGGGACCGAGAAGCCGAAGACCGGGTCTGTCGAGAACGACGCGTTTTTGATGGATCCGTCCAGGATGGCATCGATGCAGGTACGAGTGTTCTTGATGCTCATGCGCTTGCCCACACCGTAACCCCCGCCGGTCCAGCCCGTGTTGACAAGGTAGGTAGCCTGTTTGGAGGGATGGATGGGACCGAGGAGAGTGTAAGAGGTGTGCTCGAGTCTTCCCATAGAAGCACGCCGCTGAGTCTCACGACAAGTAAACTTGAATTCCTATAGGCATGCAAACGTCTTTCTGGCCTCTTTCACGCACCGTGCCGTGTTTCTCCAATTTTTTCTGCAACAGGTCTGCATATTTTGTGGGGTGCAATGTCAGAAACGCGGCGCCGAAGCAGGCGGAGAAGGTGGCTTGCGGCTCAGTGATGCCACGCTCCGTGCCCGCCACTTTGGCCGTGTAACCGCTCAAAAAGTGGTACATGGCTTGTCCCGGAGAGAGCTTCGCGACGGGCGGCAGGACTCCAAAGGCGTCGCAGGTCAAGAAAATGACTTTATCGGGATGGTCCCCCATGGAAGTGGGTTCGTAGTTGTTAATATGGTGCAGGGGGTAAGAGACTCGGCCGTTTTCGGTTTTGCTCGTGTTGTAGTAGTCGGGGACTTTGGTAGTGGGGTCGATGTAGACGTTTTCCAGCATGGCGTCCCGCTTGATGGCCCGATAAATGTCCGGCTCGTTCTCCTCCGAGAGGTTGATGGTCTTCGCGTAGCACCCGCCCTCGAAGTTGAAGATGCCGTGGTCGTCCCATCCGTGCTCATCGTCGCCGATCAGGTACCGGCCCGGGTCTGCAGAAAGCGTCGTCTTCCCAGTGCCGCTCAAACCGAAGAAGAGGGCAGTGTCCCCCGCCTTGCCCTTGTTCGCAGAGCAGTGCATGGGCATGATCCCCTCAAGAGGCAGCCAGTAGTTCATCATGGAGAAGATCCCTTTCTTCATCTCGCCCCCGTAAAAGGTACCCCCAATGATCGCCACTTTTTTCTCCAGATTGAAGGCGACAAAGACCTCGCTGTTGATCCCGTGCTCCTTCCATTTCTCGTCCACCACACGACAAGCATTGATGATGGTGAAGTCCGGGGCAAAGCCCTCAATCTCCTTCGTCGACTGGGGCCTGATAAACATGTTGGTCACGAAATGCTGCTGCCAGGCCTGTTCCGTGAGAAAGCGCACCTTTTTGCGGGACGAGGGGTTGGCCCCGCAGTAGCCGTCAAAAATATAGGCCTTGTCCAGTTTGTTGTAGTGCGCGACGCATTTCTTGTAGAGTTCCTCAAACACCTCCCCTTTCATGGGCTGGTTCACCGAGCCCCACCACAAGTTATCCTCGCTGGGAGCCTGCTTGACGATCCACTTGTCCTTAGGCGACCGGCCCGTGAACTTGCCTGTGTCCACGGCAAACGTGCCATTCGCCACAAAGGTTCCCTGAGAGGGCGAAAGGGCAAAGAAGCAAGGAAGATGTGAGGAAGTAGTTCGGCAGGAAACAACCTGGAGAGATCGTAAAATAGCAGGAAAGAGAGGGAGAGGCAGGAGGAAGGATATCCTGTCGGAGGACAGAGGACGGGCTCCTCATAGCAGGTGGTTGAATGAAAGGGAAGAAGCATGAAGCCGCTCAAAATCAAAGCAAACGTGGGTATCTTACACATCATCGATGACACATGCCAGGAAAAGTCACTGCGGGCTACTCGACAAATAAGAGATGAGGGAGACGTACCTCCTTGTTGGCCTCCTCATGCTTGGCTAAATCCGGATAGGACAGGTTACGGAAGATAGTGGTGGGGTTTGTGATTCCCAGTTTGTCCAAGCCCAAGGCAGAGACGGCGGGGGAAGCGAATGCACTGTGTCATGATATATGCCACGTGATAGTGAGAAGCTATGGTTGATGGACGGGATGGGCTGATTATAAACGTGCCGAGGAGTAGACCCGAGAATGCCTAGATGCCTAGACTCATTTTATTTCAAGATTGTCCACGCTAGTTGGACGCGTGATGTTATGAAAGTGCTGTAGCAGGTTGGAAACTTTTAAGATGTAGTCGTGTCGAACTTTAACAAGCACGAATGAAATGAGGCTAGATCTCGCACCTGTGCAACCTACATATGGCGGATGACCGCACCACAAGCAAAATACCTAAAGCACGCGCGACAAACTTCCTATGGCATACCAGACTAATAAAGGGAGACATCAACGACATTTTTAGTAGCAGAGACATATATATGTAGTTCGTACCGTGCCTGATTTTGCAGAGAGTGCAAGGCCAAGCGGCGCCCGCTGCGCATCATTGTCGAGAGCAACATGACGGCTGTCTGGAATAGATGAATAGCCCAAGAAAATAACGCGTCAGTATTCCGTCCGTTTTAAATACTCAATGAACTTCCTTATCTGGTTCTGATGCGTGCACGTGCCGCGGAACACGCCCAAACCCAAAAGATCAAGTCGCCTCAACATGTGCTCTGAGACTGCGCACCGCACGTCTCACTGAACTTCAACATTCCTTTCCTTGCTCAATTTGTTCCAGCTTGGTTCCTGCGTGAAGGCAGCCCTGGACACACGCCCCAGCAAATCCTTTATGCACAAATCAATGGATTGAAAAGGTGCCTCCGCAAGAGTTCAGATGGACGGATGCACAGATGGTGAGTATTCGTCCAGTCGTTAAGATACGCTTGTGTCCAAACCGCCGTAGCTTGGAAAAGGGGGCGCTTTGGCATTGAAGTGGCTTTACAAGTGAATCTGGTGCATGCTCCCTACTCTCTTGCAAACCGAGCTACCTTTTTCGATACTCCATCATGTCAGGCTTTTTATTGGGTATTGCACCATTGATGTCAACGTTGGGTAGAGGGTTGATTCCCACAAGACCAAGCAAAAAACAGCTTTGGGGAAGGATGTTAATTTTGTCCTCTGTGTCCTGTGTCGGTACCAAGGAGAACAGGTAGATAAATACCGTCGTCGACCGTGTCCGACCCGAAGAGAAACATGTGTACAGGAAGGACCGTCCAGCAAAGGATGATGTTTAGCTATTGGTTTTTGGGAACTTTGTTACACTCATCAGTTCACCTGCGTGCGTTGCAGGAATTAGCTTTGTACTTTGTGTGGGACATTTCTAAGTCTACATTCAGTGTACATTAGCATCGTGCGGCAACTTTTGTTCCATTTGAGCTGACATCCTGTCGTTAATTCACCGGGCGAATCGTCGCCTAGCTCTCCGCTGTGACTGCGCCCTTCTGTTCTCCTAATTCCTCCTCCTTCTCCTCCTCCTCTTCTTCCTCCTCCTCTCCCTCCTCCTCTTCCTCCTCATCTTCCTCGCCTCTCTTTGCATCCTCCTCCCCCTCCTTCTCTTCTTCGCCTCCATCTTCTTGCTCTTCGTGTCCTCTGTGGACCCCGCTCACGTCAGCATGTCTTTCCTGAGCTGACCCTTCCTGGTCCTTCTCCCCCCCTTTTCCTTTGTACACTAGCCAATCCTCCTCCGGTGACATGATGGGAAAAGGGTGCGCTTCCGTGTTCAAAACATATTCATCCAAAGAAAACAAGCTCGGGTTTTCGAACAGGAGGAAGAGATACTTTAAGGTCTCCCCCAAGAAGAAGCTCTCCATCTTGTCGATTCGGGGGGAACTCGGGTCCCCCACATTCTCCAGTCCTGAATACCCGCCCGTCGGGATCTTGGCATGGGCCTCAAAGGCCTGGAAGATCTGCCACGCCCACTCCTGATAGACGGCGTCGCCGGTCACCCGGTACAGGTAGAAGAGAGACTCCACCGTCTCGGGCCGCAACATGTTGTGCGTGTCGCGGGGCTTCACGTACAAGTCTGAACCCGACGAGGAGGAGGCGGAAGGATTGACACGGAAATGAGCTATTTCCGGAGATAATCCCGTGGCCGTTTGGTTGTAAAATTCGAAGCAGGTGACCATCAATTCCCGGGCCATCTCCATGTGCCCGCCCTCGCCTGTCGGGTCAATGCCATGATGCACGCCAAGGGCCAGGGTGCCCGGTAGGTAGCAGACCAAATGGTCCATCTTGGGCGAGAAATTAGAGCCAGAGGCCAACTCGGCAATGAAGGCCCGACCCTCCGGCTCCGAGTGGCGGAACAGCTCCGCCTTGATCCCGGCCACCGCCTCCAGGTACCTGTCTCGGTAGAAAGCCTCCCGCTTCCCCGTGAGCAGCCACTGTTTGAGCAAATACTCGTAGTAACTGTCTCCGCGCGCGCCCAGGGTGATGGTAGACCCCCTGTTGAAGTCTCCCGTCCTGGCGTTGATAAACATGGGTGGCAAGGCCCGTCGGTGCCCGTGGGAAGGAAGCTTGGCCCGGGCTCTGTCCACGGCCCGCATGGAGTGCTCCGCCAACCGGTAAAGGGACTCGTCCTTGCTAACATGGGCCAGGTACTTGAACTCGAGCTGGATGGACGTGGCCTCCGAGACCGAGCTGTCCGGGGCCGTGGGGGGCGCGAAGGCCCGGGCTTCGCCCAGGACGGCGTCGGACCAGGGCACCCCCGACGGGCTCTCCATGGCCGACCGGAGGTTGCGGCCGAGAATTTGCGCCTTTTCTAGGAAGACGGGGTCCTGGGAGAAGTGGAAGGCGGAGAGGAGGCCACCGAGCACCCGGATGGTCACCTCGAAGACGTTCACGTGCACCTGCGGGCTCACGTCCAGGTCGGCCGCCACCCAATCTCGGGCGCCCCAGAACTCGTCCTTCTCCCCCACCAACCAGAGCAAATCCAGCGAGTCCACCAGAGTCAGGCCCAAGCCGAACCATTTCAGCCCCTTTTTTGCCACGGGGGCCAGCTCGTCCATGCCCCAGGCAAATTCCTTGTAGCCCTCCCACGCGTGCAAAATCGCAGCTTTCACCGCGCCCCGTCGGGCCACATTCAACGCCGCTTGTTCCTCGACGGACCGACCCAAAGCCTGGAGCTTCTCCTGGGCCTCTGCGAGGGAGAGAGAGGCGTGGGTGGGCAGGGAGGGGTCGCGGGGACCTGGATGCTCCACTGGGGCATCCATTTCCTCCCGCTTCTCACGAATACGGTCTGCTGCCGCTTGAGCGCGGGCCGCCAGCCTCACCCCGCCTTTCTCGTGCACCCGAGCGCCTCCTCCTTCTTGTCTTTCGCGGACCATCATCTCCACCGCCTCTCGGCTCTTGAAGTCCAACGGGGCCTGGGGCCTCCGGAACGGGTGGAGCCTGTCGTTCAGCACCCCCAGCCTGGGCTTATCTTCCTCTTTTTCAACGTCACTTTGGCCTTCACTATCTTCCTCTACTTCTTCACCTTCCTCCTTCCCATCTGCTTCTGCCTCTTCTTCCTCTTCCCCCCACCCATCCTCATCCTCTTCCTCCCACCTATCCTCCGCTCCTTCCTCCCACTCCTCCTCCCCACCTTCATCCTCTTCCTCCTCTTCGCTTCCCGCCCCATCATGTCCGTCATCACCCAAGCCGACGGCTTTCTTTGCGCCGTCTCTCTGCTCCCTGACACGTCCCTCCTTCTCCTCCATCTGCTCCAGGTCGTGATCCACATGATCGCGCCGAGAACCCTCGTCTTCCACCGAGGCTGGACGCGGCGTGCTCATGTCGTCCTTCTGCAGTCCTACTCCCGCCTCGGGTACTGCAAGATCACCGTCGAAACGTACCTTGGCGTGTGAGGTGGTCGTGCTGCTCAGCATGTGGCCCCTGCTGCCCTCATCCGAGCCGGAGGTGAGCATACTCACCACCAAAGAACCCCCGGTGGTGAAAGCGAACAAGCCCACGGCCATCAAGACTAGGCGACCTCGTAGAAACAGAAAGGTTTTAAAATTCCATCGTTTGTATTTCGACAAGTCTGCATGCTGCTCCTTGCTGTCAGCACGTCGGCGGGGGCAGTACATTCCAGCTTCCGGGTCCGGAGAGCGGCGGTCCATTATGCCCACACGCCCTCCCAAGCCCTAGCTGCGATGATTCTGTCAGTGAAGTGGTGCACAGGGAATCTGTAAGGCAATGTGAAAGTGCATTAGCATGGCTCGATCGCATGCGAGGAACAGCGGCTTGGTGGATGGCTATATGTAAAACGAACGGGGAAAGCGAAGTCGTTACATTTCTTCTGATGTGTGAAGAGTGCCACTTCTTGACCTCCCGCACTTTTCTGGTGCCATCGCACACGTACAGGCGCGCTTCAAGCCTATGTGCAAAAAACCATTCAAAAACCAAAAAACCAATGGCTAGAAATTGCGGTCGAATCACGGTTAGTGGTTGTTGTTCTCTTTCCGTTATCTCACGTACCCCCCAAAAAAACTTCACCATTTTTCCAACCCCATCCTTGTGATGCCTCCCACCACACGCATGCAGACTCGAACACATCAATCATTCACGTCGTATCTTCCTCTCCACTTCTCCTACATGTCTCCATGTCTCTCGGTCAGGGCCATTTGAAGAGGAGATAGACCGGGAGAAAGAGGCCGGATCCTCCGATGGAAGAGGTGGGAGGCACGTCGCCATGGTTATCATCCACGGCGATCGCGTCGTGTCGTCCTCGATCTTCGCAACGCTCACAGTCATTGTAACATGCCCATTCCACTCTGAACCATGCATGCCGACGCCTCCCTCTCCCTCCCGGTCATTCACGCCCCCCTCTCCACCTCCCCCTCCCCTCCTCTGGCTACTGGAAAATGAAGTGTCTGATTTTAGCTGCTAAACGTGGCATGGCCCGTCACGAGGGCATGGTGGATAAGACCACCGATCGCGATCATGGCCAGACGTCCGTTCTTGAGCTCTGCCAGTGCCAGTCGCTCGCGTTTGGAGGGATCCTTGCCGAAACCCAAGGGATCAAAGCCAAAGTTCCCGGGCTCGCGCTTTCCGTCCGCAAACATGTCCATTTGCGTCATCTTCCCCTTGTGGAGGGTGAATTCCAAAAACCCACAGAAGAGGAAGATCTGAATGAGGGGCTGGGGTCCGACTTGGAAGAAGGCTTTGACCCCGTTGGGCTCCGAGTACAGGTCTCCTGGGAGGCGGATAAATTCCTGGACCACGAAGCCCAAGAAGGCAAGCATTGCGACGCGGCCTGGGGAACAAGGGGAAAGAGAGGTGGGGAGTGCGATGTCAGGCGTGGGGAGGTGCGGGTCGGGGGGCAGGCGGGGCGCTGTCTGTGCCATGCCGGGCCTGGGAGGCTTGAGGGCTCGCCTAGACGCGTCGTCGCGACCGACGGTGGTTTCCAGGGGAGATAACATGCGGGGAAAGCACTCAAGCGCTCCTTGTCTGGCATTCAATGAAAAATGCGCGGCGACTCCGCGTTGGTCCCCCCCGATCCCCCCGAGAGCCATGGAAAAAGGCATCATATCCTGCCCATGATCTACCACACGCACCGTTCTTCAGCTCCGCCTCTCGCAGCCATCGGATGTCCACGTACTCAATTCCTCCTCCTTCTCCTCCTCCTCTTCTTCCTCCTCCTCTCCCTCCTCCTCTTC